CCCCGTTTTTGATCCCATTCCCCACTCTACCCCCTCAAAATGTCTCTGGTATATGCAAACTCTGAATTCTTAATCTCTATGTTTAGCATCACCACTATCCGCGAAAGAAAATCAGATAAAATAAGACATATGTGAATGTTCTCATTCAAGTTCAAAACAAGGCTTAAGGAATCTCAACAAATGTGAGCTTAATAAAGATAAAAAATGACCTTAAGGTAAACAGTATTTCTTTTGAAGCAGCATCATGAAAAAGTACAAAGGTTATTTATTTTTACCTGTAGCTGGTATGATTAAAACTCTCCACATGTTGAAAGAAAACATTGAACAACAACAACAAAAAATTCTGAAACATACCATGATAGAATTTGTATAGAAATACACATCTTGATTTTAATATTCACAGGAGCAATTTAAAAGTCTAAGAGTGACCTGCATTTCCCAACTCTACATTACTAACCTACACTTTGATTCAGTATTTGAGATGTCTGGAAAATTATTAAATGGAACCTCTTTTGCCATTTACTACCTATTCAAATAAATATTTTCATTGTTTTGGATAAATAAAGAATAAAGCCAGGATTATTGTTTATTCATTCTTTCAAGAAGGGGTATATACAAAGCACTATGAAAGGCATGAAGAATAAAGGTCAACGAAAGAGAAGTTTTGGAATATTTTAGCCTACTGGCTTAGCTTCTGAGGGTATGAAATCTCCCATTTCCTTTGGCAATAAATAGATATATTCTGAATGTAACCTAAACAGAGCCACATAACTTTCACAATTTCATAAAAGTTATTCAACTACCTTATCATACTTTGGTGATCAGTATGACCAATAAATTTCTAGAGTCATTATTTATATGTAGACATTACTCATAAGTAGTTTGCTCATTATTTTAAGGCTTTGTAGGGGAAAACTAAAGATCAGCATCTACAACTGATGATTGTATAGGCTCACAGAAAAACCTCTCTACTTCTCTGCATCAGTCTGAATTTCTTTTCTCCCCATCTGGTCCATGCTCTGTTCAGAAACTGGCAGGCTACCATACAACAAAGAACTAGCATCAACATTACTCTCTTACTCTCTAAATGGAAAGAATGGATGTTTCCACTCTCTTGGCTGGTTCCAGACATCTGATTTTTCAAAGAACTGGTTAATCCAAGCACTGGTCTTCTCTAGATGTGCTTTTCTTAAGGAGATGGAAAAAAATTATGTGAATATGCATATATTTTGGATGCATATATATGCATGTATGTGGATACATACACTTTAACTGTGTCAGTCTACCTAGAATGAAGATTAAGCCATTGTCCTTGTACTTTTGTGGAGAGGATATCAATTTAACAGTCATACAAATGTTTTGCTTAAATTTTGCAGCACTTATAAAAGATGATATTAAATCCTTTCCTTAGTGAGAAAATTGAAGCTGATGATTATTCAAACCCTGGTCCAAGATTATGTATCTTTTGCTTATTATCAAATTTGCATTTGGAAACTTGGCAGCCTGGATCCAAAGCCCATTCACAACTTTAGTTAAAAATACAATAAATGAGTCAAGTCAGCTGATCTGATTAGCTTTTCCAAAATATTGTTTTCATTCAAGAATTTAATAATTAGAGCTACAGAGCCAGGATGACCACACAGTTTCAGTAACACCAGTTGGCTCCTCACTCTCCCCATGAGAACTGACTTTATTAATAGTCTCTAAGTGTCCTATTTGTCCTAGATTATGAAAATGGACTCACACCTCCTGCAGCCTTTCTTGAGAAGTATAACACCTCTCAGAGTTCCCAAAGGCTATTCCGCAATGTTTGATAAGTTCCTGAGAGAGGAGCCCTGTCAAAAGCAGCCATTCTTCTCAGAATGGAGGAAACAGTTTCCTTAGAAACAAGGATTTCAAAAGAGCTCTTAGAATAGCTACTCCTAAACTCAGGTTTTCTTCAGTTCCGTGCTTCAGATAGTCTTTCAAGTACAGACACAGTATGAATAGGGAGCCCAGCTGGACTTATGTAATGACATGAAGAGCAATGACAAGTTCATTGCCAGCACAGACAGTGTATTCAGGACTCAACCAAGAGCTTGGCATAGAGATGACATTCAACAAATACTTGCTAAATGCTTAAAAACAGATAAGTTTACCTGAATTTGAATGGCATGGTAAAGGGAGTTGAAACATAAATCCAAGGATCTGGGTGTAGACTTAATTCTGTCATTTTATTGCCAGTTTAGTCTTAGGAAATTTAAATAACTTCTCTAGTGCCAATTTCCCTGTCAGTTCAGGGGAAATTATGATAGCTGTTCAATGACCAACCTTGCATGAATATGCAAGGATTTTGTTCATCCCCTTAAACAAACAGTAGTATTTACATTCCATTTTATCTTTATAGAAAACCCCAAAATGATATTTTATAGCAACAAATTAATGTCTGTAGTTTACATTCTGAAAGTGTTGAAGTTAGTAGCTTAGTTTTTGTCTATACCTCCAAGCTGTGAACTCTTGTGGATAGGAACTGCGACTTTATTTCTGATTCTAATACCAACTCCGTATTTCAACAAATGTTTGTTGGAATGAATATATTAAGTAAGCAACATATAAAGTTTCAGATTTTTTTTCTGTTCTCAAATCTTTTAGTCAAACAGATTTCAGAGAGTGTTGAAGCAGAGTTAGATTAGGAATTATATAAAATAATTTCATTTTTTAAAAGGTTTTAGTTATGCATGCATGTAAGATTTAGGGTACAGGAAAGAGTTTCAGAGTGTGAGATGATTCACTAGAGATAGAGTGGGGAGCAGAACAGGCAGGTCAACTGAATTACACTGCTGAGGGGAATACAGGTGAAAGAAGAATGGTCTACTGCTCCAAGTGGGTCACATCCCTGGCTGGGATAGAACCCACAGTGGCTGGTGATATAACTTGATAGCTTGACTTAACCCCTATACCAGCAGGGAGGCACAAAAAAATGCAATTTTATTTCAATAAAATAATTTTTGGTTCCATTTTAGGTTTTCGCTGACTGAGACTTATAGATGTGCTTATTACAGGGAGTTTACTATTACTGCCAACCCCTACTGAAAGGCATAGATTGGGTCTACTTTGTATACCCAATAAGGTACAGGCCCTAGGCAGGCAATTAAGAGTAGTAGACACTCAAACACTTTATTAGCATATGTATCTGAGAAGTTGTTAAGTGAGTAATTACTCATAAATTTAAAATTAAAATTTAAAATATAAAATCTTGGCAAAGGAACTTAATATTCACAAAGCAAAAATAATGCACTAGCTAAGTAGTGATAATTTTTACATACCTTGCTGATTTCAAATCCAAAGACTTCCTCAAAATATGCTGGCTGACTAATGAGCAATAAATAAAAAGTCCAGCTTCGGCAGAAATTTGCAACAATTATTGCATAGACTGGCATAGATGTAAAAAACTTCCTCCATGGAGTCTTGAATTTCTGAAATTCCAAAAAGAGCCATTCTCACCATTTTAAAATTTTCTAACTAAAAGAATAAGTTCTTTGCATTTCCCAGATGTATATGTTGGAGCATGAGTAGGAAGGAGCAAAAGTGAGTGAATCATTACTTGCAATAGTCCAGTTAACCTATGCTGTGTGAATTATCACCGGAAGAACATAAAAATCAGCCCTCCTTTTGATTAAGTTCTTTCAGTTTTACGAATATACAAAAGTTCACATTAAAAAAAAAAAAAAACTAATTCCAAAAAGCATAGACCCTATGTCCCAGGATTTTGGAGAGAGCAGTTATAGATCATACCTCAGTTAAAACTTACTACCAATCAGTGACCTTGTTGGTATTCAGAATATACTATCTAAAATGTAGGAAAATTCAGTGTAGTTACAAGGAAAATGGTAAGAATTAAGAGTGCTATATTATAGCAATCTCATGTCTGTGAAACCACCAAATATCTAAAAATTCTCTTGATAGCCCATGGGTATCAGTAAAATTCTGTAACATTAGAGGTCAGGGTTCTATGACCTCACATGCTATATACCTTGGTCAAAGCATTTGACCACCCATCCAAGCCAGGGACACACCACTGAGAGTTACTTATGGATTCAAGACATTTAAATTTTGCAATCTGAATGTGGTTGCCATTGTTTATGATACCTGTTAAAATGAGACCTTATAATATAACACAATGTAAGTTATATGCCTAAGTATAAATTAAGTATCTTCTGCAGTCTATTATTTTTATACCATCAAATTTCTCTTACGTTCCCAAATACTTTCTCAATTATTTTATCTTGCATACTAAAATACTGCTTTGTGAAGATACAGCCTAAGTAACTTCATTTAATGCTAGCCTGACAGACTTAGCTTCGCCAAACTAGCAAAAAGAAAGCAAACATTTTTCATATATATTCAGTAATTATTTCTAGACAGGGAACCTCATGATTAAGATGTTATTTTGTGGTGATAATAAATTAATACATATAGATGATAAATAAAAACACAAAAACAAAACCTGCCTTAATAATCTAGAATGTGTACTATGACCTTGGATACAAATTTATAATAACAAATACCACGGATGGATTAAAAAAGTACAGAGCTTTGTTTTTGTTTTAATTCAATAGGTAAATAATGTCCATGAAAACAAATATTTCATAGATAATAGGAAGGCTAAATACTAGAGTCTGCATCAGAGTATTATATAAGAAATAATTTCAGAATATTACTAGAACTAAAAAAAAATTTTCTCACTAGGAAGATTTTTTAATTCATATAAGAATCATGTCCACTAATAATTTCATTTGTTAGATTGTTTAATATTTTTATCAAATGTAAAGGAAAAGCATCTAATGATATAACTTAAAAATTTGGGGGGATCTATGGAAGGTTAATGATATTATGTTAACATTCAATTTATTGAATTGGCTGTTTGCTTCACAGGTGTGTTTATAAAACTGATCTGCTGTTGAAATTATGATTTCTGCATTTTTTACATATAGATAATATTTAACTAAATGTTTAACTAGGTAGAGAAATATAAGAGACATTACAGTCAGCTGCAATGTGTGATCCTTAATTGGATCCAGACTCAGAGCTACTAAAAATCATGAATATAGATTAGGTATCTAATTTGGACCAAGTATAGAATTTTTAACATGATATAGGTATTAGGTAATGCTAGGAAATTATTTTTGTTTTAGATATGAGGATAGTGCTTAGATTTTGAAGGAAATATTTTTAAATTTCTAAAAATGCATGTGAAGTGTATGTCTGATATGGTTACACAATCTCGCAAGAACTGGTAAATGAAAGAAAATCTTTGACTAATGAAGATCTTGGTTGATCAGGTTATTTTTGTGTAGATAGTGAAACTAAGTTCTCCACTCATCCTAGACTGACTTATATTAGCTTCTTTCCACAGAAGCTGCAGCCACTGGGTCTCCCAGCACACTGCCAAAACTTAACTCACCCCCTTTTCACCATTTCTGAGTAGCCTCCAGGGGAAATAAATTCTCAATCCATTTACAGAAGGAAGCAGAATGTTCTAATACAGGTCTAGTCAGCTGATGGAACAATGACAATGTACAGATTATTTTTAAGTACTGAAATTTAACTTCTTATTTATAGACAATATGGGATCTTTCTGACTCAGGAAAGGCCAAGATGCCCTGAGGGACAATGGTTGACAAACCATTTAATCTAATAAGATGCCAAAGATAAATCTTCTCCAACAGTTGAAGTAAATAATAAGAACTGAGAGATAATACAATCAGCATGGTAGGGGGACAAAGAGAGAATCCTGTAAAATGAAGGGGAGAAGAACAATATATAAGGGGTAGTGATATATCAGTCACTGCATTCTATCTTCCAACCCTTAGCTTAAGGCCCTTAGCATTTAGTGACCAAATGCTAAATTTCAGAACCTGTGTAAATACATTAATATTGCTATCAGTTTTTCCTTTTTTATAATGTCAGATCGCTATTTATATTACTATGCATGATGGATTAATGTCACATGGACTAAAACACTTGCATTATGAACACACAACTACATTTTCTCTCCCCTAGGTAGATCCTATTCAAGAAATCAAAACATAATCAGAAAAAGTCTTGGCAACATTATTTTATAATATTGGATCTTATTATAATGATTGTGAATAACAGTAAAATTTATGAAGTAAGATTATGTCATAATGGGAATATTTATTATGTCAGCTATCCTTGGTGTTAAAATATTTTGGCTCTAAGTAACATGCAATGTAAATATGTATGTACAAGACTTACATTTAGGCTATCTAGTAAACAAAAATATCCTTTTTCATGACCGTGGAAGGTCATTTGGTATTTCCTATACTCTAAAATTAATAAATATTGATTGCATTTGTTTAAATGTAGTATATTGAACTTTTTTCAAAATTGGTTTTGGTTTACAATCATAACCTTATCACAATAGGAAAATTTGAATGTGCTTAAAAATGATAAAGAAAGAAGTCATAGATGAAGGAGGTAGCAATTATTCCCAAGTAATTCAAGGAATATGAATGTAATGAAGAAAGCAATCATGATCAACACCAAATTAGTTGGTTGAATAGGGACTGGTAAAATAGTGGGGTTGGTTGAAGGAGGTGAGATGGAGAATAAGAATAGGAATATACACCATAATAAAGTTCTTACTTCCATTGCACCTAAAAGATTTGCACTCTCTCCAATGCTTTCTTCTATGTACCTACGTTCTTCGTCTGTAATAGTCGGATGCTTTGCAGGACTCTCGTAAGACACCAAAAGCCAAAACATGTACCAGACCATTCCAAAACTTCCTGCAAGCAAGAGTTCAAAAGGAGGAAGTCAAAATAAAAGAGATGTGCTGGAATAAAACAACAAATACCTTGTGACAAACACATCTTACAGAATGTGAATTCTTTATGTTTCTCTAACTGACTTTAAGCCCATATCTTCCTGTCTTTTGCAATGGACTTCAAATTCTGAACTCTAAGCCTAGAGTTGGATCTCTTTGTCTCTATTAAATAATGTAGGTACATAGCAAATTTACAATTAATTATTAGATTTGCTGGGAATAGACCTATATATGCATATGTATACTGAGCAGTTCTGTTCTAGGCACTCTACTAAGTGAGAGGAAGGTGATATGTAAGAAATAATTCATGCTCTCAGATAATTTTTCTAGGAGTGAGTCACTTTTATTTGCCTGCCTTGAAATATATGAGAGTGGTCTGCATTTCCAGGAAAAAAAAAAATTGTTTCCCCTCTCTTTTTAATACAGTAAACATACTATATAATTCTTTAAACAGTGAACAGAATTCTAATAAACAGACTATGAAATAAATTCCAGTTTATTTTATGCTGCTTGGCTATTGTACATGAAAAATGGTCTCTGTAGTTCATGTAGTAGCATTTATCACTTTGTGTAGCTGCATCTAATATTATTTTCCATGCATATATTGATTGTTCTTTGAGCAGATGAAAGTTATAAATTCCAGGACAAGTCCCTTTTCTTTTTTTAAAGATGTATTTTATGTATGCATCCAAGAACTGGGGTGTAGGCCAGAGATGTGGGGTGTGGACCGTGAGGATTCACCAGAGACAGAGTGGGGAACAGAACAAGGGAGCAGAACTGCTGAGGGAACAGAGGCAAGACAGGAGAGGTCTGCTGCACCATGGGATCCCCTGGCCAGAGACTGAACTCCTGCTACAGTGACTGCCCAAAGCTTCATTGTGCTGAGACTTAACCCTTTGTGCCATGAGGGAGGCTTTTTTCATTCCATTATTATTTACTTTTTGAGGCCCTCCCTGGTGGCACAGTACTAAGAAGCTAAAGCCACTTCAGCATGAGTTCGATCCCGCCCCAGAGGTGACACACATGAATGGCAGACCTCTCCTGACCCACCCGCCACACCTCTCAGCAGTGTACTTCATCACTCAACCTGTTTCTCTCCCCACTCTGTCTCTGGTGAATCCTCTCACCACCCCTGCACCTCTGGTCTGTACCCCAGTTCTGTATGGATACATAAATAAGTAAAAAAAAAAAAACACCTTTTTTGTGCAATATAAATATGAAAACATTGGTAACAGAATAAATTTCAGGTGGTTTATTCTGTTTTTTCAGCAGCTGGCTATTTGGCCTTGCACTGTTCTTTTCCCTTGGGTAAACATCTAAATGCCCTTGATCTCTATAATACCATTTTTTTCCGCATGTACAATCTCTGAGAAGTGTTCTTTAGTACCTTATCTTCTGATGTATTATGATCCTTATAATTACTGAAAAGGAAAACACACACACAAAACTTGAAGGCAGATAGCATATAAAAACAAAGGATAGTGTTGTGGCTCACTCTGTTTCAAATCCTGGCTCTGCCATTCATTAAACTGCATGATGCAATCAGCAAGCCATTCTTTCTAAACATTCAGTATAAAAGGAGATAATAATACCTTTTGAGATTCAGGCAAAGAAAAGTTAGAGGAGATAATGTGTAAAGCAACTATCACAGTGAAAAGCACAAAGTACACACTTAATAAATTAGGACTCCTGTAATTCAGTAATAATTAGCATTACCACTAACTGAATGCATTCAGCTAATTGCGTTATATTTTTTAAGGTCATTACATGGATCTCATTTCATTGATTTTTAACATGAATATTGACCATGTGGATGAGAGACCCAATTTTTTTTTTCATACAATAAATAAGCAAGCATTATGATATGATATTCACAGATTACCTGACACTTAAACTTTTACTTTGTACCACTGAATCATAGAAGTTAAATAAGTTATAACTTCAAATAATGAGACTGGTTTAAACAAATGCAAACTAGTGTTCTTAAAGTCACAAATTAATGGACTAAGTCACAAGTTAGAGGATTTAATAAATGGCTATCACCATGTGGACTGTACACTCTATAAGCAAATTCTTTAAGCGTCTTCAAATTTTGAACATTTTTGAAAATGTAATGAAAGGTTTGAATTAAAATATGCTAAAAAAGATCTCTCCAGTGTAATGGACCAGGCAAGAAAATAATAATAATAATGAACAGCTATATACCAGAGACATTTTATAGGGATGGAGTGGGGAATGGGATCAAAAACACTGGGGGAAGGGAAATGCACTGGACTATGGTGATGGCACATGGTGATTTGGTGATGGGAAGCCCACGGAAATTACAACTGAGATAGAAAAATGCACAAAATGATGTAAAAATAAACTATTCTATTATTTAAAAAAAAAAACTCCCCAGGTATGTACAAGTATAGGTATAATTTATAATTTATGACGTTCATGAATCCAAAACACCTCCATGTCTTTTTAATCAACATTCTGGAAACATGAGAATGTGTTCCAAAGGGAGCCTTTCATAATAAAAATGAATGGGAAAAATTTGGAATCATTCATATACTATTTTATTCTACTGCATGACTTGATTCATCTTTCAAATTCTCATGCCAATGTCCAAGGATGTTATTAATCAGTGACCACCTCAGTTGAAATCCAGATTCCTTGCATTTTTCCTTTCCTTATGATTAAGAAGGATCTCTTAGAAAGACTTCTGGATATTTTCACATAGAAACAACTTGTGGTTAGAAAGTAAACAGAAAGAGTACCTGGACTAAAGTACTCTTGAGTAACACCTCAATCATTGGTATTATTATTATTATTATTTCAATTTGGGTGCTGAGTCACCTATAGTTCTGGGGAAATGAGAATTAAATGTGCTGCAGCAGCAGCTGACTGCTGATGTTTCATCACAAAAATTGAATCATTGCACTAGTACTACTACTGCCTTCCAGCTTTCTACCCCAACTCAGTCCTGAGCTAGAATTAGAGTGATGATCAAAAAAAACAGCCAAAAAAGAGAGAGAGATGCTGCTTAACTCCTTGTAATCAACTCCTCCTAATTAACAAGATTAACTTAATGTTGGTCCTTCAAAATGGACAACAGATATTATATATTGCAAATTTCCACCTGCAATCTGGTTGTTGAAACAAAATAGCAATATGGAGAAAATCACTAACATTTTCCTTGATCTCAAAATATAAAGAAAGGATTCTCAACTGAAAAAAAATAATGAGTAAACACAAACGTATATGTAGTGATAAATATCATTTTAGCTCATGTGTATTAACTCTATTGTGTAGATTTGCAACATACCATAGACATAAAACACTGAAGACCATCCTGTGTACTGTACAAGAATGCCAGCTAAAGGCATTGCAATCACAGCTCCAGCATAAGAACCTAAAGAAGAAGGTAAGTGAAATCAATAAGCATTCTTGATTTGACCTCATGTTCCTTAATTGGTTCATGCAGACTTGTGTACTAGGTGAATGCACACTCACTCTCATATATATAATATATAAATATATTAATATAAATATATTTATATTATATTTATATATATTTATATAGAGAGAAATCCTAAAATATGCATATATATATATGTGTGTGTGTATATATATATATATATATATATATATATATAAATCCTAAACACACATAAATGTCTACATACTTATTACTTATCCAGGAACACAAAAATACACAAGTGGATATAACCTACTTATCCAAGACACAGCAGCAATTTAAAAAATAATAAAAGACTATAAATAAAAATAAAGACTATAATGAAAATGACTCATGAGTATATTTGAAATTTAGATGAAAATGGATTAACTCCTGGAAAACTCAAAAAACACAAGATGAAATAGAGGACTTAAGGAGACCAATAAAAATTAAAGAAATCAAAATGATATTCAAAATCTTTCCTCAAGTGTAGACAAATACACTTTACCAACTTTCAATTCTGATCCAGTGTTCCTGGACCTTTACCTGCCGTAACTATATCTGCACACAGTACTCACCACAAAAAGAAGTGGTTGCCAATCTACTCCTTTCTAGAGGAGGGGCCCATTTGCTCCATATTCCATGACAAGCTGGGTAGGTCACCCCCTGTGATAAGGGAAGGTATATATCACCATTTAGAAGAAAATTATTAGGGAAAGTTGCTACTTATGGGTGCCTGCTGATTCCCAGAAACTCCATTTTCTTTAAAAAGCCTTCAACCCAGAGAAAGTAAGACTTTTAAAAAATGTTCACATTCTTTCCAACCCTCAGGCTTTCCTTCCATCTTGATTTTCTTTTGGATAGACTCTCAGTTCATATGTAATTCTGAACAGATGGAAGAATTTGGGAGGATGTTTTGTGAAACAGTAAACTCAGTGATTCCCAAATATAAAGACTACATGTAAGGAAAGTGAAATGTAGATCCTTGGAACTCTTATTTCCTGAAAGTGGTGTTGAGAACTTAGACCCTGAAAAAAATTGTGTTTTTCTGTCATTTTTATTCTCTTTTTTTTTGGGGGGGGGAGAGTGGAAGGAAAGAACAGATTGTTTTCCATTCCTTCATACTTTATCTGACTTATATATGCCCATTATACACCAGATAAAGGAGTTTAGGTAGGCCAATGACAATTCTTTAAAAGATAATGCTGATGGAATAAGTTAATCAGAATTATTCTCAAAGAATATATACAATGAAATATTTTAGTGAAAACTGAAATCATGATTCAAAGCCAATAGGGACTTAAGTCTAAAGCTCCCAGAAGTTATTATTTACTCAAGGTTATCACTAGCAAAGGACACCACAAAATTCTTACCACAATACATTAACAAAGTTGTCTCTTTTTTGTCAAATATTCATTAATTTTGTGGAGTAATGAGCAGTGATAGTAATAATTTAGCATCAATAAAAGCCAAAATAGCTGACAACTTAATTTTCTTAACATTTTGTCAAATTCAACAGTATATATTACTAGATAAAATACATTTGTTTGAGATCAAGATAGAGATTATCTGCAGGTTGTTATAAACAAGCCAACGTTAAGAGATTGCCACTCTGAAGGTCCATACCTCAACAAGGCCCTGCAATATCCTAACAAAGATGACACATCCGTAATGTACTCTGGCTGCTGATGGGATCAGCATGTTCAGGGTGGAGGTGAGAAGTATGGCTGCTCCAAATACTCTGGAAAAGAAAAGGAATTTGTATTTCTCAGGTGAAGTTAATTGCAAGCACTTTTAAGGTAAGTTGGTTTTCTAACAGAGTGAACATGATTTGACTCAGAGAAGCTAGCTGCTACTGCATGTAGGTTCTTGTGCTGTCCTGAAATGTTGCATTATTTGATGTACAAGACATAAAGGAAGAGGCAAAGAATTTGTTTTCACTTACTCATAGTCATCTTCACAGATCTAATTAAAAATTGCAAAGAGTGAATCATTATCTGGCTTTGGTCTGAAGCTCAATGTACAAATATTGGAAATTTCCCTAGAAGCTGCATAAACCCAGGAATTTTATAAATGGAATACCTTAACTAACCCAAGAAATTTCATGACCAGCCACAGCATACAACTGTCTCAGATTTTTCCTTTCATTCATTTTTTTTTTTTTTTGGTAAGTAGAGAGATTCTATTTGAGGCATTCCAAAATTGTTGGAAATGTGGTGCTAACACCTTAATCCATCTGCAAGCAGAAATTCCATTTTGTCTTTAAAAAAAAAAAACTTTCATGATTTTAGGCCTCCTAGGGAGGCCTATTTTCATACTAAGCAAGAAGCATCTCCCTTGCTGGGTAACTTTAGGATATTTTCTTGCATAGACATTCTGGGACACAGCTATGCTGTGTGTTCTGACCAAGTTTTCTCCAATAGAACATTAAGCTTTAAATTCTGAGACTGGTAGCCTCAGAGAAGTTCCAATTCTTGCAAAATGGTACATTCAATGTAACTATTAAATATTTGGGTTTCTAAAAGGGGCCATGATCATTATTCATCTGCTACCAGAATTCGCAAAACGATTTTATGAAGGGCAAGTCCAGCAGACCTGTAGAATGTGGGGCATATTCCCAGACGCCAGTCAGGCAAACGCTGTTTTCACTGCTCTAGGTGTTTGCAGATTGCAAAGGGTAGAAACAGGAAGGGTAAAGAGCACAACAGTTTGGGTCTTAAAGGTGGGCCGTTGGGGGGACTGGCAAACTCGTGTTAACATCTACCTCATTGTAATAATAAAACTGAGACTGTTAAAAGCCTAATGATAAAGAGAACAACTTGATAGTACATGATGGTTCGAAAGTATGTATAGCATTTCTGCATGAGCCCATTCAGTCCTGAGGAAGAATACCTTATAGCTGTAACCCAGGAGCCAACTAAATGAGACTTCCCTGGAATGATTATTAAAAATGCAAATTTCTCACTTCAGAAGTTCCAAATCAAAATAAGCTGGGAGTAAATCCTGGAAGTCTGTGTTTTAATAAGCAGTCCAAGTAATATTTTTGCATGATAAAGATTTGTTTAAAAAACACTTTATCTAATAAATGTGTCTTCTTTTCAAAAAATTATTTTAAAGGCACAATATGTGAAGTTTATTTTTATGAATATAATTTTCTTTTTTTAAAGATGTATTGTTTTTTATTTATGCATACAACAACTGGTATGTAGGCCAGTGGTAAAGGGAGTAAAAGGAGTCACCAGAGACAGAGTGGGGAGCAGAACAGGCAGATCAACTGAAATATACTAATGAGGGGAGCAGCAGGCAATATAGGAGATGTCTGCTATGCCCACATGTGGGTTAGTTTCCTGACCAGGGATTGAACTCATGCTGCAGTGGTTGGTGATAGCTTGATGGCAGTAAATTTTAACCCCTGCATTCCCAGGAAGGACTGTTTTCTGTGAATATACTTTTCAGCCATCACTTTCCCTTTTTTCATAGGGATTTAAATTATTGTTTTATCTAAATAAAGCAGAAGAGAGATGAATTTGACCAATCATTTAGTTTAAGGGATCTAATCCTCTATACATGATTGATATATTGGGCTAGATAATTCTTTGTTGTGGGAGTGGGGAGCTTTTCTAGTCATTGTACAATGTCTAACAGTACTGCTAAGTTAGACTTAAGCAGTAGCACATAACCAGCCTAAGCAATAGTATACGGTCCCAAATTTTAACACCAGAAAAATGTCTCTAGCAATTTTCAGCTATCCTCTAGGGTACAAATAGAATAAAGTCATTCATAACCTATTTATGAAGGGACCCTTATAATCAGAAATAACTTTAATGAGTGTTTATTCAACTTGCTAGATACCAGGCTAATACTTCACGTGACTTTAGCTCCAAAATTACCTAGCAAAACATTATCATGGATATTATTAATATAACCATTTCATAGATGAAGAAACTAATCCTGAGAAGTGAACTCACTTATAAAAGATGCTATGTACTTCTGTAGGAATGGGTAAGGAATTGTTAAGCAGTTCTAAATTGAGGAACCCTGTGACCATTCTTATCTGTCTGATTACAAAGCCAGTAGGCATGGCACCTGATTATGCACATTATTTTGTAGTTCATATATTTCAGGATTCTAATTGTAAATTTAAGTAATAATCTTCACAAACTTATGTGTAACCACATTACTATTCCTGAAATAAAATGCCAATAGATCACTCTCAATGTTTACTTTCCACTCTTGCCCTGAAATGATGTTTCTAATTATATAATCTTGTGATATTTATAAATGCTTCCAACTTTTATACGCTTTAATACTATTCACCATCCTTTAAAAAAAAATTACTTGTGCCAACTGTATTACAAGAATGCAGTGACTTTTTTCTTACTGCTTAATGGTTAAATACATTACACTTTTCAGAACTTTATCTTCTTTTTAAATCTTATATATTATCCATGTCAGTATCCAAGTAGCTAAAGTGATTGATTATCAAAATAGAATACTTGCCCTTTATGGGAAATATTTACACTTTTCCTTGCCAAAATTGAGACAGACATTTCATTCAACATCCATTTATGCATTCACCATTCAGGTCCTTTGTGGGACTATATCTGAGCTAAGGAAGAAAAAGAGACTAAAATGTGTAGAGCACTTACTATATGTTCTCTACTGATGTTATTCATTTAATCTTCACAAAAACTCTACAAATTATACTTTCTTCATTTTACAAATAGAAAAATGGAGACAGGACAACTGCAAGAAAATAGCAAACAGTGGAACTGAATTTGAATCCAGATCTTTCTGTGCACTTTCACCTCTATGATTCTGCTAGTTACCAGAAAACAATAAGGGTGGCCTTTGCTATAATGTAAGGGATAAAGAGAGAGACACAAAGCCCAGAGATAATTGACACTAAATGTTACAACTGAAGTACAAATGGAAAACAAAGGAGAGAAAAATCCATTCCAGCTGGTGTCAAGAAACAAGTATTTCATAGGAGCACTTTCAAGATGGACCTTGGAGGATGAAATATAGAACGGATGAAATTCCAAAAGGAAGAAATTGATCTGCAAAGTTTCAAAAAAGGAAGACATTACACTATAAATCAGAAGCTAGGACCATGTTAAAAATGGGTAGATAGTGTGACAAGTGAGTAGCTGAGGTAAGAACATCAAGAGACAGATGAAGAAAGCTTTGAGGAAGTATAGATGGGACGAGCAGGGGATGAGAGATGTCCGCATGTCCATGACCTCTAAGAGACAAGCTTTGGGGTGATCATAGAGAAGCGCTTTGGGGTGATCATAGAGGTTAACCTGTGATATGCCCATAAAGTGAAGTAAATATGAAAACGCCTATAATTTAGAAGCCAGGGAGAGAGAAGGTAGTCAGGACTCATGTGAGTTGAGGCAAGATAGTGGCAAATATTGGGTCCAGATTATTTTGCAGGAGTCTGATGTTTTCACCTAATGACTAGCAGATTTCTTGATTTCTCCAGGTTTCTGATTATTTGTGTATAAAAGGGAAGTACTACTGTGCAGTGGTCAAGAGCATGAATTCTATGGTAAAATGTCTGGATTCAAATTTCATTTCCATCACTGTTTGAGTGACTTTGAGCTTTATTCAACTTTCTACCTATGCTTCATTCCTTATCTACAAGACTCAGGATATTAACATACCTTACTAGTTAATAAAGCATTAATTTGTAAAGCATCCAGAACAACCATCATATCCTAAGCATTTAAAGTTATTAAGACACGGACAATGATGATGTTAATACTCTGTATGTTCATAAAATTACTGGGAAGCTAAATAAAATAATACACCAAAAAAACTGGCGTATAAAAGTAAATTCATAAATACAAGTAAGTCAAATACAAATAATAATAGTCAGTCGCTATTGAATTGCTAGTCTATGCCAGTCATTGTTCTAGAGTCTCATTTTTAAATAATTTTAAAAAGCTTCTACTGGGCCCTCTCTGGTGGCGTAACTGGTTAGGACGCAGCACTGCAAGCTAGCTGTACCTGCTTCGGTGTGAGTTGGATCCCTACCCCGAAGGTGATCCACAAGACGTGGCAGACCTCTCCTGACCCGCCCCCCGACCCCCAATGCTCCCCTCAGCCTTTGGTGGTCGGCCTGTCTTGCTCCCCATTCTGGATCTGGTGAAGTCTCTCACCACCCCTGCATCTCTGGCTTGTACCAGAGTTCTGTATGCATAAATATATGTATTTTAAAAAGCTACTACTGCTGTCTTTATTTCATAAACAAAAATGCTTAGTCCATGTTAGTTTCAATAGGTGCTAAGGTTACACGGCAATTAAGTGGAGAACTATGATTCACTCAATCTGACTGTAGACCCCGGATACTTAACTATTAAGTACTACTGTATTTTAACAGCAGCAGAACTAATACTGTCACCAACAACACCAGTTACAGAAGCTAAAGTAACAAAATCTTTCGAAGTTAAAAACATTACTAAAAGATGGCAGCAGCTGTGTGCAGTGGAAGCAAGAAAACATTCAACCCTATCCCGCTATATTTGTAGTAAATAATGAAGAAGCTCATGTCAGGGAGAGTTTTGCCATTTTTATGCAAAGTCTAGGTTGCAAAAAGGAAATGGTAGAACCTGGAAAGGAAAAGAAGTTCTGGAATGTGAAACAGTTGAGTACAGTGCTTTATAGACTTTATCATGCATGACAACCATTTTAGTGGTCCTGTTAAAATATAGATGCCAGCGCAGAACTTCCTAT